CTTTCTTTCTTTCTTTCTTTCTTTCTTTCTTTCTTTCTTTCTTTCATTCGTTCTTTCTTTCTTTCCTTCTTTCTTTATTAATTAATTTATTTTTAAAATATTTTACTTATTTTTATTTTATGTGTATGAATGTGTTCCCTACATGCATGTAAGTGCATCTGTATCCTGCAATGCCTGCAGAAGTCAGAAGAGGGCATTGGACCTCCTGAAAGTGGAGTTAAGAATGATTGTTAGCAACCATGTAGGTGCTGGGGACTGAATCCAGGTCCTCTGCAAGAGCAGCCAATGTGCTTAACCGCTGAGCCATCTCCTCAGCCCCCACTAGGGAGCTTTACCTTATGCCACTCACTTGGGCAGTCTGTACCATGTTTCTGAGCTGTTCAGAGGATTGCAGTAGCTAATGTTCTAGGTGACTTAAAACAAGATATGAACACTCAGTCCCTTAACTATGATTAAAGTATATGTGGTAATTGGATAAGGAAGACAAATGCAACAGAGTTAGATGTAAAAAGCATGTTCATTTATTACTCTCCATAACTGCATATTACTTACTAAAACCATGCTTGAATACCTACATTATATTTGTAACTTTTAATTTTCAGTTAAAATAGTAAAAGAAATAATTCAGATATGATTATAAAGAATCTCTTTAAAAATTCAGTAAGGCCAGAAATACTCACTTAAAAGTGCTGTGCCACAAATCTAGCACAGCCAGCATCGTAGGGTTCATGGCATTCAAGTGATCCCTAATATAATTATACGCAGATAAGAAAGATTTTCGCCAAGGTTTTGGAAGAACTTCCATTCTGAAAACAAAGAGGAAATAGTTATCTCCTTTAAAAATCAAAGGGAAGTCCTGGGCTGGGCATGTAGCTCACTGGTATAGCACTTTCCTAGCATGTTCAAGGCCCTGGGTTTGATCCTGAGCACCATAAGAAGTATTTTTTATAATAAATATGCATTTTAGTAATCTTTATTTTTATTCTAACATGATATATTCCTCTTGGGAATAACAAAATATGCAACTATATTTTAAAATAGATAAAATAAATACTCTGTGGTTAGTATAATTTCATATAACAATATTATGACATTTGATGTAAATCATAAGGTGACTAATCTTTGCCTTTCAATATTTGGTCTTATTAAGTCTATAAATAACTTACAGTGATCAAATGGCTACAACAGCTAGGTAGCTTTTATACAGGAAGACTCTTAATCTCTTAATTTCAGGATACATGACATTTAAATCTTTGCTTCAGTTTTCAAAGGGTTAAAGATGTACACTAGCTTGCCTATGGAAGCGTCCTTGGCCTTTCTGTCTGTTAACGTGTAAGGATCATTTACAATTCTGTAACATTCTTATTAGAAGACACATTTATTCTTTGACTCTCATGGATTAAGTAAATCATCTTTTGTAAATAGAAGACATGCCATCTTCCTCCCAGAATACAGATGTTCCCTGACTTATGGAAGTTGGACTTTTGTGTTTTCTGGCTTTCTGATGGTAGAAGAGCAACACATTTCAATTTTTGTCTTTTCCTTGTCTAGCAGTATGTTCCAGATAATCTTCTCTTGTGATGCTGGGCAGCAGCAGTATGCTACAGGGTAGCCAGCCCTGCAGTCAGGAGTGTAAACACCTCAGGGTCTGCAGCACACTGTGTCACTAAGCTACATTGGTCAGAGGTCAGGTATATGAATGCAGTTTTGCTTTACAGTATTTTCAAGCATCTGTGTACTTAAGCTTGTCTATTTTATGGCTATAAGTTTTTATGATTTTAAACATTTGGTTTAAACATTTGATTTTAAAGATTTCCAATGACACAGTAATTAGAAAAACATAAGTTCCATATATGGGCAGCATTTTATATCATTAAAAAGAAAATTATTAGTGAGAGAGGGTTATCTAAATAGCATCTCAGATTTAAGTCAAATGTCTAGAGATTTTGATCCCTTGGACCATTACAAAAACACCAGTCATGTTAATTTTTCCTATTGGATGTTTAAGACCATGCAGGTGACCAAAATTATTTTTTTTTCTGTCAAGGCCAACTGAGGATCAAATCCTCGTGGGTCCCAGGGGCTAGGGATGAGCCTCTGGCTTCTTTAGTCTTCCTTTTTCCAATTGTTCTATCTATGTGAGAATGAGTCCAAGGCCTTGCTTGACCAAACCCTGGCTTAATTTCAATACTACAGTACCTACCCATAGGTCCCGCAGCCCACTATTGTTTTGACACACTAAAACCCAAATGATAGATTACTTTCTTCTCTCCCTCACTAGAAGCTATCTGGGAGGGAGCTTACACTGTGATGAGTATAGCCAGTTCAACTGCTATCAGAGTACCTGAAAGTAGATCCTAGGTATACTACTCTTGAATTCAGTCTTGGAGGCCACAGAAAAAAGGAGGAAGAGCCCAATGGACGGATGCTCTTGTAAGTCCATCAAAAGGTGTGATGAACTTTAATTCATACATTTTAAATTCTCTTTTGTTCTGGCTTCTCCTAATTCTCTGCCTTGGGCTTATAATAACTTCCCCCTCATATCTCTACCCAGGCACCAGCCAAGGACTTCCTTTCCTACCTACACTTGGCTGTTTACAAATGTAACCACTGATACAATTTCTAGGTCCCCTAGATAGGCCATTGGAGGATACTCCAACTACCAGACCTGACAACTCTATCCAGCAAGAAGAAGCCAGATTTGGTCATTTCCAGTTCCCTATATGGCAGTTAATGCTAACTTTTCAAGGAGAGATGATGATGAGGGGGGAATGTTACAGTAGCCTTGATCAGGGTTTGAAAGAGCATTATAGAAAGCTATTTCTCTGACCTGGGAGACCTAACAATCTAAACTACCAAAAAAACATAAAAGAGTTAATCAAGTTGGGTCACTCAATCACCTAGCCAAGGGACCACCCCTCAGGACCACTACCTACCCCCAAACGCACACACTAAGGAAGGAAGGCTTACCTTAAGACATAGTAAAGAGAGAAGAGAAATAATTATCCCTTTAGTGAGGTGATGTACTTTTCCTTCCCAGAATTCCCATCCCTTAATTCAGTCCCGACAAACCACCATGAGCTTCTGTTGGGTTTGCCCACCTTTCTGAGTCCTGACTCAGAAAAGCACAATTTTCCTTTTTCTTTTCATCTGTTTCTTCAGATGGTGGCTAGAGCCTAAGGGTGCCTTCTGTGGTACTTTTGGCCTTTTCCTTCTTTCTCTAAAGTTCCTTTTCCATCCATGTGGCTGCTTGTCCACCAAGCAGACATCCATACCAGCTTAACTCAAAGTGCGGGGCTTTTTCCCCTTCTCTTCTCCATTCTCCTCCTCCAGGCAGCTGCTGAGATTCCCAGCTTGCCTCTCCTGGGTCTTTTCTTTTAGACTCTAATAGAATTGCCCTCAACCTTCTGTTTGATTCTATTCTTAAATTATTTGATCAGTGAGACAAAGAAACGCAAGATGAGACACCAAGTCCCCCAGTATCACCCCTAGCAAAAGTTGACCTTGGGTTAAAAAGGACAAATTTGGTCTTCTTCCCCCCTTTCTACCCTATAACTACCACACCTGTAAGTGGATGAAATGCTCTGGTTCTTATGCTAGAGACCCCTTCATAGATATTTTCCCAAATAAAGCCTGTGCTGTTGTTGAGGAAAAAAATCCTGTAAGTTCTATTTTTCAAACTATTTAAGAGATGTATTCTAAAATGTTATTTTTAAGGAAAATAAATGGTGTTTGTTTCCATATTGTCTATACTTTAATCCATCAATAAATTAAAATCCATTTTTGTCATTGTTTCCAAAACGTTTTTGTGCAAATTCTCATCAAGCTTTTAGCCTCTACCACACCTGAAGCCTGTGCTACTCCCTATGGAGATGCAAAGGCCTATATTGAGTTCTTTCCACAATGGGTATTTTTTTGGTTTAGTTCGTTTTTGGTTTTGATTTGATTTTGAGACAGTGTCTCATGTAACCAGGCTGGCCTCCAGCTCACTGTGTAGCTAAGAATGCCCTTGAACTTCTTATCCTCTCTCCTCCATCTCCCTAGTGTTAGATAACAGGCATGGGCCACCACATCCAGTTTATGCAGTGCTGGGATCTAACCCAGGGCTTTGTGCATGCTAGGCAAGCACTCTACCAGCTGAGCTACATCCCTAGCCTGACCACCAGTGTACTTATGTTTTAACCATACAAGTATTCATCTATCCAACCATCTATTTGCCTATTTATTAATCAATTTGTAAATGCAACATGTTATGGTTCAAATGTATAAATAAAGATCACAAGAACAAATTTATATATGAAATACATATATACACAGATATAGATTCTATAAGTATGTGTTTAATATATAAATTACAAGAAAATATGTGAGAAAATGTAGCCAGTTTATAAAAGCATAAACTTGTATCCATATGGCAGGTAACAACTGTCTGTAACTCCTTTTCCAGAGGATCCGACACCCTCTTCTGACCTCCTTGGGCATTGCACAATACAAGTGAATTTATACATGCAGGCAAAACACACATACACATGAAATAAAACAAATAAATAAATAAAATTTCAAAAAAGAAGCCCTGTCACTTACTCAGCACGATGAGGTGGAAGCTTGCTTGCCTTTGTATCATCATCTTTTTCTCTCGGGTCTTTTAAAACAAAATCAACTAAAAGACAATTGGAAAGTTTTGATAAATAACCTTAAATTAATTATGGCATTTTTCCAAGAAAACTAATATTATTAAAAAGAATCACCTAAATTATGTTAGTTTTGAATAAAAAACAATTGTGTATTTATTAAGAAAAAATTTTTAATTTATGAGAAAAACTTATCAAGCCTGTGTCTTTTAGAGCATATGTTCCCTTTCTTAACAATGTTTTTCTGTTCTTTCATTGGAAAATAAGTGCCTTTAATATTACATTTTTCTTTATAGCTATTCCATTTCAAACATTCCTGTTGAATTGAAAGTCAGGAAAACAGAGGAAGAGCACTGAAGAAAGGTACCTGTTCCTTTATTCCCTTTCAAATTGCATAAGAACATATAACAACAGTATTGTTACGAAGCCAGTAAAGATACCTCTTCTTCAGTCCTCTGTGATCTTCAATTCACAATGAACTCTAAACTTTCTGCCTCTCTTTCAAGATGCACATTCTACAATGCAAATATATTATTACCCTCTTGCTTACAATTCTTCAGGCTGCTCTTGACCTTCAAATGTCTTAGAGAGACTTATAAGTCCCTCTCAGATAGTGTTTCTTTCTAAAATGCACCTTATACTTTGGTCATCCAAATGGTTCATGAGCCTTTGGAACACATCTGCCATCATCTATGCCACTGCCTGGACGGAGCATGTTATCCAGTTCATATTTCTCATCCTTCAGACTCCATTTGGGATCTGGGAATGGTGGCACATGCTTGTGATCCCAGCACTAGGAAGGCAGATGGGGGAGGATGACAAATTCAAACCAGCCTGGTCTACATAGTGAATCTCAGGCCAGCCTCAGCTACTTAAGGAGACCATGTCTCCCTCCCTACACCCCATTCCAGAAACCTAGAGTCCTTCCTAAATTAGGATGACCTGTTCTTCTCTTCAGTATGCCCTCTATTTCCTCCTCACAGCATTTGATTCACAACTTTACAGTTTAGTGATCTGTCATCTCTCCAATTGCAGGATTTGGCTACTCATGTTTATATTACTTAATAAAACTCTTAAATGTAGTCAATGGCATTTCTCTGAAGTGTAGAGCACTCCATGCACTATGATTTCACCAGTTTTTAACAGAGCATCCATTGTGAAAGCTCTACTAATCACAACCAACTGGAGAACTTAAAAAAAAAAGATTATTTTTATACTTCAATTATTTGCATATGGCTGTGTCTATGTATGTGTCTGTGCATAAGTGCGGGTGCCTATACAGGCCAAAAGAGTGATGTATTCCCTGGAGCTGGAGGTACATGGGCCACCTAACATAGGTGCTGGAAATTGAACTCTGAACTTCCACAAGAGCAGTACACATTCTTGACCACTGAGCCTTCTCTCCAGTCTTGGAGTACCTTTATAAAAGTACAGATTCCAAGAATCTGCCTTTAGGAATGTTAATTTAGATTGGGCCAGAAATGAATATTTTTAAAGGTGATTCTTATTGCCCCCTCAGACTTGGAAGATCAAGCTGTTAGTTCATACCATGGCACAACAAACTTCTTATGTAAAACTCATATGATAATTTCTCCCACTTAGTAAGCCACAAGGTCTCTGTTACAGCTGTTCAGTCCTGCTGTTGTAACTCAAAAGCAGCCTTAGACATGTGTTAAAAAAAAAAACAATTGTAGTTGCATGCTGATAAAACTTTATTTACAAAATGGACAATGATTAGATATGACTTCTAAGCCATGATTGGCCACCATTTGATCCACAGGAAAAATGTAATTAATCATATTTGAATTTATGGCATCAATTTTCTTAATGCTATTTGCTAATGTTTAAATTTCACACATACACACACACACACACACACACACACACACAGGTCTTGTCTTTTATACCTATACCAAGATATTCTTGAAGCAAGGGACCATCCTGAAAGGAGAGACTTTCAATACAAAAATCACTTTAACACAACATGCACTCAAATTAGAAAACAAGAGCAGCACATTTACCTATGGATTTCTTTATACTGAGAAGATAATCTTGTCTCATCTCATCTGAGAGCAGCATTATGCTGTCAGTGAGGGCTTTCAGATGCTGTGGAACTAAATCCAACACATGTTCTAGCCAAGAATCCTCCATTGGGGCTATGTGATCTGTATCAATTCCATGGTGAATATAATAATAATACTTCTACAGTGAGGAGGTGGAGAAGATGCAGATGAATTAATGTTACAATAAATTATGCTTGTTAAGATAAAAAACCACAGGAAAAAAATCAAGTTTGAGGAGAACTAAGTAATTTTAATCATAAATGGGTTTTTTTGAAATTCATATAAGCATTATTTGATATCTCTTTTTAAAATGTGCTATTAAATAAGAATCAAGGCACTCTTCCCAGTTCATTACAATACTATAAAGTATTAAGCTGTATTACAAAGTACATGATGTACTGAACAGAGTCCATCCAAATTGACAGTGTTTTAAAAATTTTTGAAATGTTAAGTTTTGTTCTTTTCTTTTTAATAATCAGAAGTCAATCCCAAAAGGTGCGTATAAGTCAGAATCCCTATTCATTAATTCTAAAAATATATAGCAAAATTGAAAATAATTTCTAATTGGTCTACTACTATCCTACATTAAAAGTTATAAATGCTATTATATGAGTCGTTATTCATTTTAAAACCTCTCATTTCTCTAATAGCAAGTTTAAAATATTTACATGCACTCAGGGATAAATCTAAACTTCAAGTTATTTTCAAATCATCAATATTGAATCTTTTTGATATTTACATTTTTAAAAATTCTTATGTATTTGAAATACTTGAACCAGTACTTCTAGAAGAAATTGATGTAATTTTTTAAATGAACACTATCATAATTCAGATAATTTCTCATAATTATATGGTTGAGACAGACGTTAAGATGGGAGCAGGCAAATTTGAGATTCCTTAATTGTGGAGTTAAATGACGAAGAAGAGAATGTTTTCTGCTTTCTTCTGTTAATTCCACTAGAGCAATGTTATGCAACTCTCAATTTACTCCTAAATGCACAGAGATCCACCTAAAAGTATTTTCAGGTCTTCCCTCTATTTTCAATTCTACTGGCGAAAGAACTCATTACCAAAATGTCTTTCTCTATTGCAGAAGTGGTCATTCTTGAAATCACGTTTTCATTGGTAACAGCTGAGTCTAAACCATCAACTTGTTGCCTACGAAAATGATAAGCACAATATTACTCAAAAACATACAAAAGGCAGCTTAGGGAAATAGAACAGCTTGTTGAGGACTAGCTTTAACTTCTAGACTATGATCTAGACCCCAGTTTTGCCTGGGATGGACACAGATCATTGGTGCTCTATGAGAAAACTCATCCCCTGACTGACTGATGAGCCAAAACTGGAGCTTTATTGCATATGCTTCTAAGATGCTATACCAAAGTAGGTATCCTGCATGTATCTTTTAGCTGTCTTCTGAAAGTCCAAGAATCCACTATTTTGTGAACTTTGTGCTTATGCTTCTAAAAATACATGAGAACAAAAAAGAGTCAATTTAATTTAATCCATGATAGGTGATCGATAAATCTTTGCCAAGTAAGAAGATGTGAATATGAAAGTAGTGGGATCTTCCAAGTATTCAGTAGCTGGAAAGGGAAGAATTGATTATTCTAACTACAAACATAACCTCATTCTTGCACAGAAAAGAGGAACTAACAAAGCAATACTGGATTTCTAGAATCAAGAAGTCTGGGTTCATATTCTGCCACTGTATGGTGCAGAAGCTTAGTAAGCAGTGTTCATTGTTGTTAATGGAAGAAAGATTCATCTTATTAACCTTCCCGCATCCTGAGCACCACCCATACTCTGTGTAAATAACACCTAGAAGCCTGCAGCAAGGCCAAAGTATGGGAAGGAAGAACACTGGGGCCATAGGTACATTAGAGAGTCAAGCTCCTTTCAGCTCTACATGTCCATGAGTCTATAATTCTAGGGATATGGGCAAAGATTCTACTTACCAGAAATGGTAACAATGACTACTGATCACCTAAAATAACTCTGCAAATATTATTTCTAACCCTCACATGTACCATTAAAAATATAATTGTTCTCACTTCACAAATGAAGAAACTAAATCTTAGAGAGCTGAAATAACTTCCCCTTGGTTATATGGCTAATTAAGGAAGGAAGAGGAAGCTGGTCATCACTGGAAGGAAGAGGAAGCTGGTCATCACTGTGAGCCTCTGAGCAGCCACACTCTTTCTGGGAGAGCAGCATTCCATTTGAAACTAAAGTAATCAGAATAGAAGGCCAAGAAACACAGGATAGACTGTATTTCTCAAAAATGAAAAATAACTATATTAATATTTTTCCTGTCTATCAAATGAATAGAGGCTTTTGGTTTAAGATAGCGGCATGAAAATCCCCTTTTCTAAGTTGCCCTGTGAAAATGGAATGATGTGATTTTAACTTATGACTGAAGAGACTTCTTAGAAGAAACCCAGTCACTAAAGAAATAGAGCGACAAGTTTCTGGAGCATGAAGAGACAGAGGACAAACAAAACAGAGTTTAAAATGCTACAGCCCATCTGTCACAGAAGCAAAGCAAGCAATGGGCCTGAACCCTCCAGAAAGCCTCTCACCTTGGAGGAGCAGGTACCAAAGGAGGAGATGAGCAGGAAGGCTGGAAACAGGAAGTTATCTCAGCAGTTCATTCTGCAGCATTTTAGGCAATGGAATGGAAAATCATACATACCCAAAAGGGAAAACTGTACTGAGCATGGCTCAGAAAGAAGTAGGGAACACGACTAGACTAATATCAAGTAAGTTAATTGGATTAGTAACAAATAATTTTCCCAAAAAAGAAAAGTTCAGGTCAAGGTGGCCTCACTAATGAATTCTACCAGGGCACAAAGCATACCAGTTCTACAGAAACTTCTTCAGAAAACAAAGAAGGAACAAATCACATTCTCAGTTCATTTTATGAAGCTAGAAGAGATTTGATATCAAGATCAAAAGACATGACAAGAATATTACAGGCCCAAACTGTTCAGACAGTCAAAAGTCCAACAAAGTATTAGTAAATCAAGCTTTCTTTTCTAGCCCAACAAGATGCTGAAAGGAAAGAAGGCCAAGAGAAAGAGGGTAACCCTACAGTCACAAAGAAGCAAGAGGTCCCAAAGGTAGTGAATCCTGTTTGAAAAAAGCCCAAGAACTAAGGCACTGAACAGGACATCCAACCGAAAAGAAACCTCACCCGCTTTGTTCGATATCCCCACCCCATCCTGCTGCTGAGGCCAAGGGCTCTCCTCTGTAAGGGGCTTAAGTGCCTCTTGTAATTAAGCTGGTTATCTAAGCCTTGGCCAAACAACTTCCCAGCTTCTTAAACTTATCAATAAATACAGGCCAGAGCCACAGCAGAAGAAGCAGAGGTTGTTGGCCTGGGCTGCAAAAAAAGCTACTGGCAACGTAATATCCCTGTAAGAGACTGCTTGTTATTCAGTAAGAGTCCATACTGCCACAAACTTGATAGAGAATATGAAGGCTCAGCTAGCAGTGACTGCACATGACATAGACCCCATTGAGCTGCTGTTCTTCCTGCCTACCTTGGGTTACAAGATGGGCATTCCTACTGCATCACCAAGGAGAAGGCCGGGCTAGGGCAGCTGGTCCATAGAAAACATGCGCCACTTTTGCCTTCACACAGGTTAACTTGGAAGGCAAGGCAGCTCTGGCTAAATTGGTAGAGCAGTTACTATCAGGACCAATTATAATAACAGGTACAATGAAATCCACCTTCACTGGAGCGGCAATGTGCTGGGTCTAAATTCTGTAACTTTCATTACCACGCTGGAAAAAGCAGACCAAAAACTCTCCACTAAACTGGGTTAAATATTTGCCACTGTTTCCATGTGGGTTTTTTAAATGGCCTTTAGTGTTAGTTATTTCTCCCCACATTCCTTCCTCTGCCCTGCCCTCCCATTCCCCAACCCCTTTAACCCTTCCTACTCTATTATTTCCCTTTCCCCCTTTATATCACTGCATTCTGCCTCACCTCCCAGGAAGTCCCCTGCCACATAGCCACAGTTTCAGAGAGCTTCAGAGGCCAGGCAGCATGCAGCAGGGATTCCCCTGCCTAGAGAAGGTCCTGATGGGCCATTGCGTGAAGCTGTGAAGGTGAAGTCTGGTTGGCAATGGAGACCCCAAGAGGTTTGTGATGCCAGAGCTGTGAGGAATCTGCCAAGAAGACCTGCATACAGGGAGTGGTACCAGCACAAGACAGAGATGCGTGTTGCATGCAGCAAAGCTTGAGAGGCTGAGTCATCTAAGCCCTTTGGAAGGAGAGTCCCAGAAGTTGGATGTGGAGCTACTGGATTTGGTGTTTGCCCTTCTGGTTTTCAGTCTTGTTTTGGTCCAGTATTTCTTTACTATGCCTCCATTCCTCCCTTTTGAAATGGTAATGTGTACTCGGTTCCAGTGTATGTTGGGAATATGTAATTTGTCTTTTGAGTTTATAGAGGCTTACAGTTCAGGTATTTACCTGAGTCTCAGAAGAGACTTTGGACTGTGGATTTTTGAATAATATTGAGAATGACAATGACTATGGGGACTTTTAAAGTTGGACTAAATGCATTTTGTATTTTATATGGTCATGAGCCTATGGGGGCCAGGGGGTGGAATGTGATGGTTTGAATGAAAAGTCCCCCATAGGCTCCAAGTATTTGGACATTTTGTCCCCAGATAGTGGCGCTGTTTTGAGAGGTTTTAGAAGATGTGGCTATCCTGGAGGAAGCACATCACTGGGGATGGCCTTAGAGAGTTCTTAAGCCTTGCCAGATCTCCAGTTGCTCTCTTGCTTCCTGTGCCTGCTTGAAGATGTGAGGAGCAGCTTTCTGCTGCTCCTGTTCCAGCCACCTCCAGCCACCACGCCTCCCTACCATGACAGGCTGTAATTCCTCTTGAACTATAAGCTCAAATAAACTCTTCCTTCTATAAATTGTTTTGGATGGTGTTTCTATCACAGCAAGAGAAAAGTAACTAATACACACACCAAACCCAGAAATACATTATAGAGATTGTTTGCAATGACTAGGTGAGAGGAATACAAGGTTACTTTAACAGATGAAAAGCCATTAGTGACATATATCTTATGTTGATAGAGTAAAGGGAAAAGCCAAATGGTCATCTTGGCAGACATAGAAAAAGCACTTGACAATAAAACCTCTCAGCAAATTAAGAAAGGGAGGAGAGTCGTCAGCCTGGTAAAGGGTTTCATTTTACTTTTCATTTTCATTTACATATTTATTCAGTTCATAAATTCCAATTTTATGTGTTCTTTTAATTTAGTTATGTATTTTTTCATTATAAATGGAAAATTGTAATGATATAATTATAGACTAAAAGATGATGTTGTGATTTATTAATGTAATACAGAATAATTAAATCTATAACATATTGATTACCTCAAATACTCATTTTCTCTGGAGAAAACATTTGAAATTTTCTCTCAGTGATCTTTAAATGTATGATACATTACTATTTGCTATATTACTCCTCATTTTGCAAAGATGCTCCAAGAAAAATACCCCTTATCCATTCCTCCTGCATAATTAATGCTCTGTGCCCTTTGACCACCATGACCCCATTTCCACCCCATCATTGGTGACCATCATTATACTCTGTGCTTCAATGAGTTTGTTTCAGAGCCTCCATATAAGCAAAACATGGTATTTGGTTTTTTCTATGTATATTTCTTCTTTCTTTTATTATAAATGAAATTCTCTTCTTTTTAAAAGCTTAATATTTCATTGCATATGCATTCTATGTTTTCTCTATCCATTCATGTGTTGATAGATGTTTAGGTTAACCGAATCATGCTACAATGACCATGGGAGTTCATCTATCTCTTTGACATGCATAATGATTTCAAATATTTGGAGTAAATGCCCATAAATAAAATTGCACTATCATAGGGCAATTCTGTTTTTAATTTAGTTGTTTTAGACATGTCCACATGTTTTTCCAGAAGAGCTGTACTTGCCTACATGCCTTCTAATGGTGTGTGAGGATTTCCTTTTTTTCATAAAGCATATCTTAAATATGTACAACTAAAATTTTATAAAAATGTGAGAAACTGCTTTGACTCTAATTCCATCTTACCAATTCTCTTCAACAGTGCATCAAAGGTCCTGAGACACACAAGAGAAAAAGAAAATCAAAACCATACAGATTGCCAATGAAAAAGAACTACCTTTATTCGTGGAGAACATAATCACACATACAGAAAATTCAAAGGCAACTTCTAAGAAGTCCCAGAAGACAAAAGCAAGGAAACCACAATGGGATTTTTTTTTCTCTTGGAAGAAACTGACAAGCTGATTTGAAATTGTGTATGAAAATGTAAAGGCCTAGCATAATAAAAACGATTTTGGAAAAGAAAAATTTTTGAGAACTACCTGATGTCAAAACATACTATAAAATTAGAATAATAAAAATAAATATTAGTATTAAGATATGCATACACATCAAAGGAACAGAAATTAGACCTCCATGGATAGTCCAATGTTTTTTTTTTTTTTTAACAAAGACAGCAAAGTAATTCAGCAGAAATGGTCTTTTCAACAAATGGGACAAAAACAATTAGTTATATATATGGAAAAAAAAAAAAAAAACCCTGAACCTTCTATTTTATCTCACACAATGTACTTAAAAGAAATTGAAATGGATTAAGAATATAAAATGTAAAAGCTAAAACTATAGTTTCTAAAAGGAAAAAAAATGTAAGAGGATGTCTTTGTGACCTGGAGTTAAGAAAAGATTCTTTTTTAAAATTTTTTTTATTTATTTTTTTGGGTCTTTTTGAGACAGGGTCTCCCTGTAGCCCCAGCTGTCTTGGAACTCACTATGTAGACCAGGCTGGCCTTGAACTCACAGAGATCCACCTGCCTCTGTCTCCCAAGTGCTGGGATTAAAGGCGTGCACCACCTAAAAAGTTACTTTTATTTTATGTGTATGCATGTATGTAAGTGCATTCATGTCATGCAATGCCCATGGAGGACAGAAGAGGGCATCAGATACCCTGGAACTAGAGTTACAGACAGTTGTTAGCTGCCATGTGGGTGCTGGGATTTGAACCCGGGTCATCTGCAAGAACAGTCTGTGTTCTTAAGCACTGAGCCAACTCTCCAGTCCAAGAAAAGATTCTTAGCTATGACTTTCTAAGCATGCATAATAAGAGAAAATGGTGATAAACTAAACTTTACTACAATGTAAACCTTTTCTTAACAATATCAGTAAGAAAAACATAAACCACAGACTGGGAGAAAAAAAAAATTTAAAAGACATATTGAAAAAGACTTCCATAGGAAGAAATCAATTCTACCAATGCAGTAATAATAAGACAAACACAATTTTCCAAAAGGGGACAAAGTATTTAAAGAGACCTAACTGAATAAGATATGTGAATGACAAACAACCACAATGAAAAATACCCAGCACCACTAGTCATTAGGGGAATTCAACTTAAAGGCATTGAGAGATATAAGGCATCTACCAGAAAGACTATAAATGCAAACAAGACCACAGTGGAAGCGTGCAGAAGTCAGTAACACATATTGCTTGTGGAAATGTGAAATGGGGCAGCCACTTGGAAAATAGTGATATCTTTAAGATTTAAACATACATCTAAAATATATTCCAACATATGCAAACATACATCCACAAAGACTTCAGTCAGTATCATTCATAACAATCAAAACCAATGCTGGATTATAATTTTAAAAGCTCTTTTTAAATGTACATCTGAGCACATAAAACCAACAAAGGGTACTTAGAAATAAAAATAAAATACAATGTCAAGACAGAGCTAGCAAAATCCTGAGGCTATGGTTATGCTTATGGGTCTGGGGCCTTGGCTTTTCATATCCAGGTGACGAAAATGATCTTTAAGCTGGAGTGAAATGGGAAATTCAGGCTGAGACCCTGTATCAAGCTGAAACCCAGGACAAGCTCTTGCTTCAATCAAAGGAGGCCTAGAAATGACAGAAGTTATATCAAGAAAGCTCCCCTCAGTCACTCCATGCTTTGATGCCCTGTGGGGTTTGACACAAGCCCTTTCTCTGACTGACCAATCAGCACAGCATGAGGATCCACATTACCTAGATCTGTTCACTTTCCAAAGAACTCTCCATTCTCTATCCAGTAACATTGGGTTATCACCTTTCTGTACTAATTAATGCTAATATTTTTATGTAGATGATTTTTTTGTAGTTTTGAGACAGGGTCTTCCTGTAGCCCCAACTGGCCTGGAACTCGCTATGTAGACCAGGCTGGCCTTGAACTCACAGAGATCCACCTCCCTCCGCCTCCCAAGTGCTGGGACTAAAGGCATGTGCCACCATGTCCCGCTGTATATGATTTTTTTTTTAACCATACAGAGAAGGGAAGAAGGGAAGAAGGAAGAGAGGAAATGAGGAGAGAGAGGAAAGGAAGGGGGGGAGGAAGAACACCTGTCTTGCCAGGTCCCATGGTGGCACATGTCTGTATTACCAAGACTAAGATAGGACGATCCCAAGTACTGAGCCAGCCAGTAAAATCTTGTCTCAAAATCAAACTAAAAACGGGGGCTCCTCAATAGTAGAGCACTTGTTTGGCATATGAAGCCTTGGGTTCAATCCCCAACACTAGAAGGGGTACAAGTTTTTTTCTAAGAATTTGCAACTGCAGGCTTATTCTCTATTGATTTGGTGTTGATTTGGTGCCTGTGGGATCCAAATGTGCCCATACCAAGAAAACATCTAAAATAACATGAATGGGCTGAGCTGGTATCTGAGGAAAGCAACCTCAAAGCCACTCTTGCATCATAGCAAGATGCAATGGCACATGCCTATAACCCCAGCATTTAGGAGGCAGAGGCAGGAAGATTGTAAATTTGAGACTAGCTAGAGATACACAGTGAGGCCCTGCATGTAAATAAGGAAGTAGATACATATTTACAATCCACATTTTCATTCCAGCTGTGGGAAAACAATCACCTCACTTGCCCTTTGTAAGCACTCAAAGCCCACTGCCCCTCCTTCCAGAGGGCCAAACAGGGACTACAGAGATGGCTCAGAGGTTAAGAGCATTTGCTGTTCTTGCAGAGGACCTAGGTTCAATTCCCAGCACCCACATGGTAGTTCACAACTGTCTGGATCTATAGTTCCAGGGGTTCCAAAGCCCTCTTCTGGCCATCTTGGCCACCTGCATGCATGTCGTACACGTACATAGATGCAGGTAAACATTTATACACATGAAATAAATAAATATATCTTTTTTTTAAGAAGTCAAACAGTAAAGTGCCTTCTGGAGGCAGTAACAGAATTCTGTGGGTGAGTCACCACAATGGGTCATGAAACTCCACCTGCTGCATAAGTAGTTGCTTACACCCTGAGGGCAAAAGAGAGCACTAAACAACTTGCACAAAGTTGTGTGGAAAGAAGGCAAAGAGGAAGTAACCCGATTCCACACTTCTCTCCACCAGAAGCTCTGAAACTCAGGCCAGGCACACCCAGGCTCTGCTCATATGCTGACCATTCCAACCTACTTCTAGTTCTCTGTGAGGAGACCCATAATGTCATGGAAGTCATCATATCACCTGCACAGACAAGATGGTGGGAAGAGGATGGGATAACTAAACATATAGCCACATGACTATAACCAGAACTCCCAGAAAGTCTGCTCACTCAGCTAACATCAAATAACAGTGTGGGCACTTTTACAAGTGATGGTATTTAAAAGTGGGTCATGCTTAATAAGGTTAAACTCAAACTATTTTTACACTAACCTTATTGTAACAAGGTCTTGCAGCATCCTTTAGAGATGCATAGAATTTTTATATATTCAGATAAAAATTTCCAGGGGCTTTACTAGGGTAACATACTGGATAGCTTATGGAACTCACATGATGACATTCACAAGAGTGCTTCTGAAGTTTTCTCGTTCTTTTTGTGGAGATTTGGCCTTTGATTTGGAAGTAGATGGTCCAGCACGGTTGTCTTCAATTTGGTCCAATAATTTGCCTTTTCTTCCAAAGTGCTGTAGGTATTCAGCTTGAATTTTTTAAAAAAATCAAATTAATCATTTAAAAAGTAAGTTAAAACATGTAAGTACTTAAAAAAGATGCTACAGCACCATACAAGAAAAGTAGCATGTACTTTTAGCTTGTCAGAAAGTTCTAATGTATTTTGTTTTACTATCAGGAAGTTAGACTACTCTTAATTTATATCATCATCATAATAACAGAAGCCTCTATTTTAAGAATACTCTGTTGACTCATTGTGTTTTGACTAATAAGCATTTTCAATTATCTTTGCATTATTGTCTCTTAAAATGACCAAGATTAAAGCTATGATAAAAGCAAAACACTATTCAAGAAAAATTAAATAGAATCATTTTAAAACATGTTAATGTTAAATGTAATCAGTTTGATAAATACTGTTCTTTAGAGTTTAAAAAAACTGTGTATATATCTGTGTGGGCAAGTGTATGTACAGGTATGTACACATGTGTGTGGAGGCCGGAGTCAACCTCAGGGTATTCTTCAGGTGCCATCCACCCTGCTTTTTGAGACAGGGTCTCTGTGTGTTAGAGGTCACACAGAGGGCTAGGATGGTCAGCCAGTGAACCCCAGGGATCTGCCTGCCTCCATCTCAGAGCTGCAGTTACAAGGGCATGCTGCCACCTCTGGCTTTTTATGTGGATGCTGGGGACTAAACTCAAGTCCTCAGGACTTCATGATTTATTGAGTTATCTCCTCAGATCCTAGAGCAAAAATATGCTTAAATGACTAGTTTAGAAATAATAGCCACAACTTTAGAAATTCTTAGAAAAAAAGTTCTCAGCCTTTGCCACAAGAAGCCCATCAGCATTGTTGAAGGAGGAGGGCCTCATATGACCTCACCTCGCCCTGAGGAGCCATGGGCAGCTCACAGTTGCTGGAGAGGGGAGTCATATTTGAATCTCAGTGGTAGCCACTAAGTAGTAAGGTGCCCTTGTTCAAGTAAATTACCCAAACCATGCTGATGCAGGCAACCCTAAGTAAATGCAGTGATCCACAAACATAAAACTTGTAAATATGAGAAAGTAAATGTTATTAAAATATAACTTATGCAGTGTTGGATATTTTGTTACAATAGCAGGAATGGCCTAGACAAGCCTGCTCCCCACACTTGTCTGCTCCCAAGTGCAACCCCCATGTGGCCCTGCTGTTCTTCCCCAGGATGAATAAATGTGACTAGAGTCACTGTTGGATCCCATGGGAGCTGGAAGACATGTTCATTAACTCCCAGAGTGACAGAGTAGAACCTTTCTTCCCAGAGCAAATAGGCGATGGTCAAAATAGATGATGGAAGCAAAGGATTGGAAGGAAGAGGCTGTGAGTCAAGGAATTGTGTCTTCTAGGCTCTGGAAAGGGAATGGAAACAGAGTATCTGGGAGGGCTTCTTGAAGCAGCCAGCCTGTGCACACCTAGATTTTACCTGATCCCCAGACTGTAAGACAACAGATTTGAATTATTTCATCCCACCAAGATTGTGGTCACTGACTCTGGCAGCAATGGGAAACAGGTGTATTTTCTTGTCTTCCTCATCAAATCTGTCACTATCTGAAATGACTGATATGGTAAGCTCTGTGAGAGGGGGCGCCATGTCAGCCTCTTATGATATCTTATTCCAGATCTGCCTGGCACAGCTGTGTGCTCATTGGAGCCTTCCGAATGAGCACTGAATGAAATGCTGCAACAAAACAGCAGTCCGTGCATGATATCATCTGTGCTTCCGTGCCTTGCTAGCCAGATTAATCTTGGGAAGTCTGATATGTATTTATTTAAATGATAGGCAGATAGCCATATTTTAAATGAATATTCTTACAGTATTTTACATGACATTATTTCTGAAATTTGTCTTTGTTCATGAGTAATGGGAAAAATGAAAGGTTGACTAGTAGGATCTACAACATACAACTTTCCCATACCCAATTCACTAAATATGGACCATGTATTTCACAGTTTTAGAGGAAATGACTGACAAATAAAGATGACTCACAAATTTCCCTAGACAATTCTGCTAGTAAAGTTCCAAGAAACTGGATATTCTGTATACTACTAGTATTTTACTTTAAAATATTTACAAATATTCAACTGGAAAAAAAAAGATGAAAATCAGAGTAGGGCTTGGGAAGAAGGGGTTTGGGGTTCAGTGAGAGAAGGAAGGGGATGGGAGACAACAAAGGAGGAGAATATGATCAAGTACATTATGTACATGTGTGTGTGTATTTGCATGTAATGAAATTGTGAAAGAATAACTTTAAATAAATAAGTAAATGTTTCATGAAAAGCATCCTAATTTCTAAAATATAAGCTCTTATAGAGTATTTACAATAGTCTGAAATAACTAAGAACTAGAATCAATTGTTTTATGATGGAAAACTTTCAAAAGAAAGTTTTCTAAATGACATATGTCATTTATATTTTATAGTTCTATTGCTTTATTAATACCCATGTTTATTTTAATTAAGAAAATGAAAGTTCTTACCATATGACTGCTCATTTTTAACACTAAAGGGTTCTGGAATCTGGTCATCCTGTTTTAGAGACAAATGGAATGAAGGAGCCGCCTGCTGCCACTGGGGCTTAATTCCTGTCTAAAATATGACATTTGAACAGCATTAATAAATAATACAGAAAAATCTCATTTAATACATGAGTATTCTCATGAGCTGCATAAACACTGTCCCAAAACACTTCGGGACTTTCTGGATAGAGGTGCAATCACTTAGCAATAACAAAATTCCTGCTGCTAGCTGGCTATGGGTTCCTGTTGTCCATTTCACACAGTCACTTATTCCCCATGTGACCAGTGTCTATAAAACTTTATTTCAATTTGTGTTTAGCTGATAAATAAAAACATAAAACTATACATAGCAATATATATCAATGGGTACCATGAAATATTCCAATGTATGTATATACTATGTGATGTCTAATTAAGAGAAGCAGATTGCCTTTAAAATTTATATTTTCTTGGGCTGGAGAGATGGCACAGTGGTTAAGAGCACTGACTGCTCTTGCAGAGGACCTGGGTTCAATTCCCAACACCCACATGGTAGCTCTGAACCGTCCTTAACTCCAGTTCCAGGGGAATCCAAAGCCCTCTTCTGACCTCTGCAGCATTGCACAACATGGGTGCACTCACATACACGCAGGCAATACACTCATACACATAAAATAAAAATAATAAAATAAAATATTTTAAAAATTTATATTTTCTTTATGTTGAAAGCTTTCAAAATTCTGTTAGCTTTCTGAAGTATGCATTACATTACTGTTGTTTATACTCATGCTACTGTGCATTACCCAACAGACCTTCTCATCCTGTAATTTAGTGTTCCCCTGCCTCCTACCTCCTTGGTACAGTATAGAGGTGTCTAGAAATTTATTTCTTCTAAGTTGTCAAATTCATTATCACACAGTTGCCTCTCATAAGCTCTAGTCACCCTTTGTGCTTCTGTAGTGTTAGGTCATGATCTCTCATTTTCATCTATGATTTTGAATCTTCTTTTTCCAGCCCTCGTTAAGACTTTGCCTATTTTGATAATCTTTTCAAGGAACCAAATGTTTGTTTCTTTCATCTTTGGATTGTTTTTTCAGTCTCCATTTCTTTCTCTCTCTTTTTTAGATTTATCATTTTTTATGTGTATATGTGGTCTGTGAAGGGTAAGCCACATGTATGCAGTACCCATGGAAATCATAAGAGGGCGCTGGATTGCCTGGAGCTGGAGCTACAGGCAGTTGTGAACCTTTCATTGCGGGTGCTAGGAACTGAACTCAGGTCCCTTGCAAAAGTAGAAGCACTCTTAACTGCAGAGCCAGTTCTCGGGTCACATTTTATTTATTTATGCTCCATTCTTTACTATTTCTTCTACAGATTTGGGGTTTAGTTTGTTCTCATGATTCTAGTATATTGAGATGCAGTGATAGACTTAATATTTGTGATCTATTTCTTTGATGTGGGCATTGATTGCTCAGATCAAACCTGTTGAATTCCATAGGCTTTGGTATATTATGCTTAACTTTCATTTACTTTTGAAATTTCCTACATGATTTGTTCCTTCATTTATTTGTTGTTTGAAAGTAGGTTGTTCAACTGTTTGCTACAATTTTTTTGTAATTTTTCAATTGTCTTATACTATGTTCAGGGGAAAAAAACGCTCCATAAATTTCATTTAAAAACAAAAGAGAGTTTTCACTGAAACTCCCTTTAACTTTTACTATCAGAAGATACAAAAATAAAATTTGTTGGAATTAAACTCGACATAATTATGAGAGTGAGATCTAACTTGTCCAATACTTTATTACCCAAAAATGTCTATTACCTGCCTTTTCCATCTTGATCATTTATAGTCAAAATATGAAAAAAGAAGCCCAAATCCAAGAGATCTTCCTATCACAGCCTTCTAGACCAAAAGGACCATCGCCAAAGAGCTAATAAAATCCTGTTTCCAAGCAGAGAATTAGAGGCCCCACAAGGTCACAACTCCCCAAAGGCCACAGAGCTTTGCTCCCAAACCTATTTCTTGACAGTGACATTCCTTCTGCTAAACCATCTTGGCAATTGTTTTATTTAGAATCCTTAAGTATTCTGTACATACTAGTAAATTGTAGACACAATGACTTTACTTATTTCTTAAGATGTCTACCTTGGAGAATTTGTCCATCAGAAAAGAATCAAAGTATAGCACAAAATCCAAAATCAGAAATTCAGTTACTTCTTTTTAAGTTTGGAAACCAATAAACCTTTTGAAAATGGCATTTTTAAGTAGTGCATAAATAAATTACCGTAGTTAATTGTGGTAAAACTCTTGCTGGTAGTTTGGGTTTTTCTTTGCTGGCTGGTTTGTCCTACATTAAAAAAAAATATGGGGAAAAAACTGTTAACACAAAAGTTGATTCACTCAGTCACATTTTAAAGTAAAGAAATAAAGTAAAACATGCATTAGCCAAAATGTTCAAAGGTTAGTCCTACCACTTTTAAAATTCTTACAGACTGTCTTAGCTTTGCTTTCTTTGGTGCAAGGAAAATAGTATTCAGCAATACTTTCCAAAAACCTAAAAATTAAAAAGCAAGCAAAGCCTTATACTCATTTCCTCCTGAGAATTTATCTGAACTTAGTATGTATGGCTTACTCAACTTCACCTCTCCTCTACTAAAATGCAATTTTCCTTATTGACATACTGGAATCATCCCTTCCCAAAGTGACATGTTCCAGTTAATGCACCCAAAATAACCATGAGTAGCATTTGTGCTTTTCAGCAGTAACCTTAGAGAAAAGCAATGCTACCTCATTTGTAGTAGAGATGATTCCATGGTAGGAACACCACCCAGCTAAGAAGCATGGCTGAGGGGGACAACAGAATGTTTGGCTATATAAAGCAGACACCAGTTGTGCTTTAGACCAAATTTCAATGTTTTGGCTCTCAGCTGGAGATGCCTGGAAAGAGGGAACCTCAATTGAGGAATTTTCTCCATCAGATTAGTCTGTAGGCATGTCTATAGGACATTTTCTTGGTTGCTGGTTGATATAGGAGGGCCCAGCCCATTGTGGATAGTGCTATCCCTGGGCAAGTGGGTCTGGGCTATATAAGAAAGGTAGGAGAACAAGCCAATGGGAAGGAAGCCAGAACACAGTACTTCTCCATGGTCTCCACTTCAGTTCTTGCCTCCAGGTTTCTGCCTTCAGCTCCTACCCTGGCTTCCCTCTGTGATGGATCATGACCTGGAAGTTGTAAACTAAAATGAACCCTTTCCTCACCAAGTTGCTTTGGTCCGTGTTTTATGACAGCAATAAAAAGTGATCTAGAACAAATAGTAAACAAGGTCCTTAAGAGACTAGAGTCACAGGTGGGGCTAGATGAGCAGCTTTTTAAAATATGCTGGCAGCAAGAGATAGGGGTCTTGATTTACAGACAATGCTATAGCAGAGGGTCACCTCAGCCTTCCTGAGGGCCAGCTCTGACTGCACTGCTCAGAAACATTAACAAACTCTCCAATGAAGTAGACACAAGTTTTCATCTTGGTTTTAAAGCGCTCATCCATGTACTCCAAATTATCTCACTTTCAAGCCTCCTTTGTTGCCATATGATGTATACTACATGATTAAGGCAGGTGGTTAAAGGCTAGAAATGTTCCTCCATCGCTCTTACCCCTGCTGCTCCCACAAGCCTGAAGGCCACCTGCTTCCAGTAGTGTAGCTGTAAGACAGAAGGGCGCCCCCTGATGCCTGTCACATTTCATGTGAGGAAAAGGCCATTCTGTTGGGTAAATTCTCTAAAATTTGGAGGGCCTCATCTGTGATTCCAAATGTGGCTGCAGTGCACAGTTCTGTGCTACTTTCAACTCATGACAGTGTTTTGCCTCAAGAAAATGATTTTTCTTCCTGCTGGGGAGCTCTTCCAATGCCAGAGCATGGAGCTCCAGGAAGAGTCCACTCTGTCCCCCCACACACAAGCAGCCACAAGAAGATGAGAATGAGCATCTCTGTTTATTTAATTTCTATGTTTTTAATAGATCTGGGTAGATTGAGGACAGAAGACAAGAGAGCAGGATAATGTAGGCGCAAATATATTTCAGAAAAAAATTAAAAGAAGGAAAACTATATTTAACCCCTATCTGAACAAAGTTCCAGATTTTTAACAAGAAGATAGTCATATTGGTGACTTTGTTTGGTAATCAAGTAACTAGCAATTCTCTAACAATACAGGATAACGGAAGATGGGTAGATGCTATTTCTTGGATGGGCAGTTCTAGGAAGTGTTCTCTCATCTCAGGTCATGACAGGAATACCCCAGTTTCCTACTGGTACAGACAATTCGACGTTCATGTTGCTAACCCTTTCTTTGTAGCTCGACTCCATTCTCCCACTGTTTCTCCTTGGCATCGCTTTCCAAATAAATGAACTGTATGCAGGTCCCTTCTGTCAGGTACTCAGTCACAGGATATCAAGGTGACAGAATTCATGCTCGTCTATCCTTCCATCTACCCTTTATTTCTCCACTCTCATCTTTCGCCATAAAGTATTTAATGTTCACAAAAGTGCCAGAAGTGAATTGTATGAAAAGGGCAAGAAACAGGTCACTGCTCACAGGGGCTGAGCTTCGCCAGTGCTGGGTCAACCTCATTTTCAACTACAGTGACCAGAAACACGAAGGTCTGTCATGAAAATCACTCTCAGTCCTAGGTTCTCCTGGAGAACGTTCATACAAGTACAGACGCTAGTATTTAAATAAAACAAAGCAGTGGATTATTTTTAAAATATCTTAAGAGTATGATTTCTCCTAGTAATACCCAAAACATCCTACCTAGTTGAGTAACACATACTCAACTATGAGGACATTAAAAGTTTTTAAATCAGTCAACAAAGCATTTTAGACCATGATATGATTGTTTGATTTGAAAGGATTATGCATCTCAAACATAAATATTTATTCGGCAAGAGAATTTAAATTTAATACACCAAAACACCCCAACAGCAACTGTAGGACCCCCAGACTGGGGTACCCTACGTTCTCGGGAGGTCGCACCCCAATAACTCAGTCCTCAAACCAGAAGATGCGATAGCAAGAGGTTTTATTATTTCATCTATAGATGGTCTTCCACCTTGATCAAAAGGGGAAGTCCAGATTCAGCTTAGAAGCTTGCTTATATAGACAGAAACCACAAACCACGAACAGCAGAAGTGGGAGGGGGCAAGCATTCAGGTTACAGCAGAAGTTAGGTCACAGCAGAAGTGGGGGATTTTTCAGGTATTTTTCCAGCTTACGGAAGCATGAAAAGGTCATCTTTTCTTCTCTACAGTTAGAATTATTTTCCTTTTACTTCCTTGTACAGTTTCCCAGAATATAGCCTGGGAAACTTAGTTACCTTAGTTTTACTTTAATCTGGGGGGCTTTGATTTATGATTCCATCATTTCCCCCCTTTTCTTGTGAGAAGATTTTAATCTTAAAATCTACAGGTTTTCTGTTCTGTTTAGAGCATGGTATTGCTGAGTAAGGACCAAAGCCTGAGTCACTGATAATCAATCCCTAAAGAATTGTAGCAATCTATTGAGTATACATGGTCCGAAAGTTAAAAGAAGAATTATTATTATTAGGGGGCCTATTAGGTTGGACACTAAGGTAGTTAACCAGGGGCTTTTATTAAACCATCTTGTGTGGATTCACGTTCTTTGTGTCTTTTATCTAATCTCTGGCGGAGCTTAGACATGGAATCTTTAACAACTCCAGAGTTATCAGCATAAAAGCAACATTCTTCTCCCAGGGCCGCACAGAGTCCTCCTTCCTTGAGGAAAAGCAGATCTAGCCCTCTTCTATCCTGTAGTACTACTTCTGAGAGAGAGGTTAGAGATTTCTCTAGGAGGGTAATTGACTGTTCTATTACCTTAATGTCTTCATCTACAGCTTTTTGTAAGTCTGCATAATATTATGGTCCTTGTATTAAGGCTGCTGTGCCAGTCCCCACCCCTGCTGCCACCCCTGCTCCTAGAAGTATTGCTAGGGTGAGAGATATAAGCTCTCTTTTATATCTGCTTGGGTGTTGCTCAAAAAACTGTTCTAAGGAATCTGCGGGGTGATAGAATACTCGGGGTAGTTTAATCATAACACAGTAATCTTGAGAGGTGTTAAGGACCATACTAGCTACACATGGAGTTAACCCAGAATTACATGCCCACCAAGTCCCTTGTTGAGGTAGGAGATAGTAATTTCCTTCCCCTAAGGGTACAGGTATAGTGGAGTTGCAAAGGTGGGTGTGAGTTGAAGGTGAGTTTCCTAGACAGAGTCCAGGTCCTGAGACTTCTGTAAGAGTTAAGGGATGAGGGGTTTCCCTATGGCACTGATTGGTTGAGGTGGTGTTGTTGAATGTTCCTAATGTAGCTATACCTTCATAATAGGGAGGTGCTGCTGCTAGACACAGCCAACAAGATTCAGTTAAATTGGGGTTTGTCTGTCTGGCCTTATATGCTCCCTGAACTAGATTGAACAGTCGGTTTCCCATGGTTGAAACCTGTAACCTTGGGTAACGGGTGGTCTTTTCTGACAGGATATTAGCTGGGGAGGTGTTAGGAAGAGAGTTGGGGAAGTGCTGTGAGGTAGCTTCAGGTATTAGGGCTAGCGGGGGATCTGGGTAGCTAGGGATGGGTTTTTGAGTAGGCAGGACGGGGTTGGGACCTATAGCTGTTGGGTAGGAGGAAGTATCTCTTTTAATAGTAAAAGGGAGGCCATCATCTGCTCATTCCTTATATAGTCTAATTCCCCAAGAATACCCCTTATCCCAATCTGTAGCCTTTTTACCTGCTGTTGTGAATTCTACCCAGAGGAGGTTGCACCATTTACCTTGACAGGCCTGTTTATGAGTAATTTTCCATTCGTCAAAAGGGGTATACATCCGATATCCCTCTATCAGACGTTCTAAAAATCCTGCGGGGGTTTCATTTTCTCCCTGGGTTATAGCACGTACCTTTGCCAGATTGGTTGGGCACCTTCTGGCCCCTTTGAGACCCACTAACAGAGTCTGGTGATAAAGACAGAGATGCTCCCTACCTGCCACAGTTTCAGGGTCCCAGTTGGGTCTGGTCAGAGGAAATCATGCGTCTATTTCATTTGGGAGCTGAG